CACTTCCAGGCTACACCCAAATTTCACCCCCCTCCCAGCGCTCTCCCGCTCTCCTTGTTGTCGTATCTTCACAAGTCTCTATCTGGAAGCCATATTACATACGTCCACGATCGAAGAGAATCGCACAAAAGAAGGCGATCGTGGAGTTTTCTGACGATCGTGGTCAAGCAAGACAAAGAGAGAGATCTCCTCACAATCGTCACAACCTCACAAAACTCTCCCCACGGTGCCTCACGGACGTACATGTGCCCTCATCTTCGTTTTTTCATCACATGGTAGGAGGCTGAAAAACTCAGGCGCAAAGAAGGCAAGCTCAGGGGGCCTAGATCAAGACAAAAGAGAGACTAGTTACCTCATCTTTAGATCCTGACACACAAGCACGTGCTTGAACACGGCCTCAGCAGCTTCCCTGCTGTCCCATGGTTCGTCATCAACCCGCCACAGCTGTTCCTCTCCCTCTTTCCTCCTTCTATCATCTGCTCTCCTCTCTTTCCACCAACCTGCCACAGCTGTTCCTCTCCCTCTTTCCTCCTATCATCTGCTCTCCCTCGCCCAACCTGCCACAGCTGTTCCTCCCCCTACTTCCTCTAGCATGTGCTTCTCCCTCCTTTCCAAGCATATTACCAAACTCCAGCGGATTCAGTACAAGAAGGGAGAAACACAACCTCACGAGATTGACAGCAGGCACAGCAGCAGCGGGGATCAACAACACGTGAGAAAGGACAAGACAGCCGGAGCGCAGTACCATCAAGCAACAAGTGATTTAGGAAAGCCTCAGCTTCGCTCCTCTTCTCGCTCCTCTTCTCGCTCCTCTTCTCGCTCTTATCACCACAAAAGTAGACGGCAGTCACAAAGCCAGAGGCGAGCAGGAGGAGAAGAAGCTGCTGTTCTCTCCCGCCCTCTCTCTCCCATTCACAGTATCACCCCTCTGGTGTCCTTAATTATGTATGGCCACCGTTTGCAGCACAGGTGGCACTCCGAAGAACTAACGGAACTAAACGGAGGGATATCCTGATTAACATTCTCTCCTCTCGTCTGCTCTCATTTGCAATTGCCAAGTGCTCCGACGACACACACACACACACACACACACACCTGTCTCTTATACACATCTAGATGTGTATAAGAGACAGGTGCAAAAGAGAGAGAGAGAGAGAGAGAGAGAGAGAGAGAGAGAGAGGAGAAGAGAAATATGAACGCAGGAGAAATCCAGCGAACGGATGCTGTGCCAGCAAGTCTCCATTCTTTTCCTCTCCTCCTCCCCTCCCCTCTCCTCTCACGTCGATTCAATTCCGATTGTCGCTTTCATAGCTACCGAGACGTCACCTGGCCATCAGGACGGACTCCGGAGGGCTGGGAGGATCACTAGTACCTGTGGCATTGGTGTAGTCGTGGTATTCACTGTCGTAATTGACACACATCATCGGCGCAGGGGGCGTGTCGAGAACCACACTGAGCGACGTGTCCTGCAGCATCAGTGCGTCTTCTAATCCCCGCCGCACGTCCGTCATCGACGGACGTGTGTCACGATCCTCACCCAGGCAACGCAGCGCTACTTCAGCCACCTTGTACAGAGAAGCTGTGCCGTATGTGTTAACCAATTTGGGGTCTACAATCTGTTCGACTTTCCCGGCCAACAAGTACGGCACGGCCCAATCCGCAAGGTTCACCTGCTCCTTGGGAAGGTTCTGGCTAATCGGCGCGCGAGCGGTGATGACCTCCAGCAACACCACGCCAAAGCTGTAGACATCCGACTTTTCTGTCAGCTGCTGACTCTTGAAGTACGCCGGATCGAGATATCCAAAGCTTCCCTTGACCGCCGTGCTGACGTGTGTCTCATTGAATCCACTGGGTCCCGACTTCGACAGACCGAAGTCTGCCACCTTGGCCACGTACTTGTCGTCCAGCAGTATGTTTGTAGACTTCACGTCTCTGTGAATGACCATCTCCTGCGCGCCGGAGTGAAGGTAGTCCAGCCCGCGAGCCGAGCCTATGCAGATCTCCAGCCGCTTGCGCCAGCTCAGCGTCGAGTACTCCGTCCCACAGGTCTTTCCATACAAGTGCCCGCGCAGAGTACCGAGAGCCATGTACTCGTAGACAAGAATCATTTCCCCTTCGTCGTCGCAGTAACCGACCAGGCTGACCAGATGGCGGTGCCGCAGCTTCGAGAGCGTGATGATTTCCGTCTGGAACTCTGTCATTCCTTGCTTCGACTCCGGACTGCCTCTCTTGATTGCCACCACATCTCCGTCCTCCAGCACCCCCTTGTACACATTCCCGAAGCCCCCCGTTCCAATCACCCTCGTGTGGTCGAAGTCCTCCGTCGCCTTTCTCAGCTCTTGCAGAGTGAATCGCTGCCCCACCTTCCTGCTGTCGCCATCAGGCAACCCCCTGCCATATCCTCCCCCGCCTCCATTCCTAGAGATCTTAGTCGTGTAATCGGAGTCCGTGTACGAGCCCGGCAACGACTCGTGTCTCCTCCTCCTCCTCCTCATCACGTACAAGGCCATCAGAGCTATCACCAGACCCGCACCAACCACGGTTACTGCCACTACAGTACCCGTCGTCGGGGTGCCCTTCTTCCCTGTGCTGAACTCTGCTTCGCAGTACTTCAGACCACGAGTGCTCCCTTGGTCGACAGTGGAAGGCGCGCAAAGGCTGTTATTCCCCCCAACAGACAGGAAGGTCGTCAGGCTCGCGCTTTTCAACAAGGCTTCGGGAACCTCCCCCCGGAGCGAATTGAACTGCACCGTAAGGCTCTCCAGCTGTCGCAAGCTGGCGAACGTGGCCGGAATGGCGCCCGTCAGGTGGTTGTTGTCCAGAGCTAAGTTCTGCAAGAAAGACAGGTTGCCCAAGCTGTCAGGGATCGATCCGGTGAACCGTTGATTACTCAAGACGAGGGAGTTGAGAGTGTTGATCTGTCCTAGCTCGGGAGGAATCTCCCCTCCAAGCCCCGGCGGAGAGGGGACAAACGACAGGTCGATCTTCGTGACGATCCCCTGTCCTGAGGCGTCGCACCACACACCCGTCCAGCCACTACACGGATCAGAATTGGCCATCCACTGCGGAAGCAAAGCAGCGTTCCCATCAGACTCTGTGAACTTGTGCAGAATGCCGGCAACGGCTTCCGTGGAATAAGGCGGACGAGTGACCACCTCCGTTGTCCCGTCCGCCGCCTGCACGATGCGCAGATTGTCGGCGGAAGACGACAAGTCGTTCAGTCCGAGCTTGAACACTTCCAGACCGTTGATCTGAGGATGGCGATTCAGCGACTGCGGATTCGCTTCGATGCTTATGAAGATTGTGTCCGATGCGGACGAGGATTGATCGACCAAGAAATCTTGCCACGTGGCATTCAACGCACCCACCTCCTTGACGGAATCCAACCCTTTCTTCCTCACAACGCCATTGATTGCCACGTCCATCACCCTCGCTCCTACCGTCGTGTACCGAAGGTCGGCAAAATACATGCGGACGAAATAACTCGCATTCTTCTCCGACGGGATCTGGTAGTCTATAGGAAAGGATTCAGGGTCAGGCCAGCCAGAAAGCCTCTCGGTCACCATCACGTCCTCGGGAACGTATGCAGGAGCCACATCACACCCGGCAACGACAATGGGAGGTTGCACTAGATTAGTAGTGGCCTTCGTGCTCTGGGGATCGGGCACCCACGTCCGAAAGAGTCGATCGCTCCCAGGACTCACCGTCACTCCACCACAATTCCACCGTATCACGGTGAGGGAAGCAAACGCTTGCAGCTTGTCGCCATACAGTCCAGGAGGGATGTACACATGCTCAATTGCATTGATGAAAGCATACGAGGGTGAAGAGAGGGACGATGAGGCTCTAGCCTCCATAACCTGCGAAGAAGAAGACGAAGAAGAAGAAGAAGAAGAAGAAGAAGAAGAAGAAGAAGAAGAGACCGGCAAGAAGACAATTTTCATCACACCGCCCGGTTGGCAGACGAGGGAGAACTCCTTCACGACTGCTGTGTTCACCGCGCCGCCTTCTTCGAGAAGCGGCGACCAATTGCTCAACAAGGTGACAGAGTCCGCAAGCACTGAGAAGTTCGCGTTGGCAGGATCGAAGGTGGTGCCGTTGACTATGCAAGGGAATGCATTGAAGTGGAGACGGAGGAAATAGCGGTTCCCTCCCTCGCACGGAAGAGAGTAAGTAGGGTTACTTTCTGCTGCTGCTGCTGCTGCTGCTGCTGAGTCTTGCTGCCCTTCGGATGACAACGCAGGGGGAGGGGGAATGAAGACCCTTGCGCTCTGGTAAATTAAATGATTATCAGTCCCATTGACATCAGTTACAGTACTGGTTCCGACGACGGAGGGGCTGGAGCCGGTGTAATTGTCCTTCGACCAAGTGCGTTGGAAAATGTCCACGAAATCCGTACCTCCTCCGCAGTTGATATAAATCTGAGGGCCAAGAGCGGGCCCAGCGAGAGCAGCAGAGGAGAGAATAACGGCCATCGTATGGCATAAGAGGAGGAGCTGAAGAGAGAGAGAGCAGCCCGTCACGGCCCGCGAAGCCATCGCTAACTGGAAACAAAATGACCACCGAGTAAGCCCTCTCGTGGACAGCAGCAGACGACGATCGATAGGCAACAAGAGAGACACGGAGAAAGAACGCCAGCAAAGACTAAGAGAGACACGGAGAAAGAACGCCAGCAAAGACTAAGTAACACAGTCGCTTCGTTCGAGCCGACCTGAAACCGCCCTAACACTTCGTCACTCGAACCTGCTTGCTACTCTCTCTCTCTCTCTCTCTCTCTCTCTCTCTCTCTCTCTCTCTCTCTCTCTCTCTCTCTCTCTCTCTCTCTCTCTCTCTTAGTAACACAGTCGCTTCGTTCGACGAAAAGAAAGGGAGCCAACCTGAAACCGCCCTAACACTTC